GAACGTTTCGGCCGCCGCCCCCCGACGCCCCCCCCCCCCGCCGCCCTCCATTTTATTTCTGGGATCAGCAGGTTCTCAGGAACAGCATAAGGGGGCAAAGTGGTGGTTTTCAGTTGGATGGAGGTGTCAGTAGAAATCACTGCCCCCTCTTCCAAAAATGGGGATACTGTTCCGTCAGAGGAACTGTGTGGCTGGATACTCCCCAGTGTCTGTGAACTGTATAAAGCAACAAGAACAGCTTCCTGAGTAACTAAATGCTGTCTGCCTTTTCTTTTCTGATGTGTATGCTCTACCCCCACATATAATGAACTTGACTCACAACCAGGGGTCATTTCGTAGAAAAAGACTCATTAGCATAACTCATTAGCATATGCCACACCCCCTGACATCACCGGAAGTGTGTCCTCCCCACAGCCGGCAGCGACCTCCAGCGGGCACCAGCAGGGAGCTCCAGGCCCCGCCCTCCCGCACCTCACCCGGGGGGATGGCGTCCCCCCGCGTCCCCCCCCCAAATGACCCCTGCTCACAACTCACAACAGAACATGACCTTCATTTATTGCTTTGAGTGCTTTGCTTTTATCATAAAAAACAACACCGAGCAGAAGTTGGATAAGGGAAGGCAGTAGGTGTGGCTGGCTGAGAGTGTTGCAGGAGCATGTGTGTGGAGCTTTGCGTCTGATAGGCACTCATTAAATAGTAACCATTCCTTGTTAGTGTTCAGATGGATTATGCTGGTAAAGGACACTCCATTTTTTAAAATTCATAGGTAACTCTGGGGAACTGCACCTTGCAATACTTAACAGCTAGGAGTATCTCCAAGGGTAAAAACTGAACAAGCCTCAATTCTATAGAGCTTCTGGATAGCACACACCAGCATTGTATCTGGATTGGGATTACTACAGGTCTGATGAGCGATGCAAGATCTTCCTTCCCAGTGGGCAAAATCTCTCTCTGTTTCCCCTCAGGCTGGAACGGTGCTACAGAAGCTAAAGGGCAAGCCACTGAGCTTCCGGCTAATTCGGTGGAAATGGCAAGATGGAGGGACGTACGCGCCACTGCTGCCCTACCTGAAAGTACTCAGGGAGAAAATCCCCAGCTTTCAACTCCAGCATGAACACACACACAAAGAACAGACTGAGGGCTGGTGCCTGCAGGGGGGCAGGTAGGGGGTTCAGAGTGGGAGCAGAATGGTTGCAAATTTCAGTGTTTTGGCATCAGTGGGCTAGTTGGAGTTGTAGCTGGAGCTGTGTCTTGTAACTGCACTGGGGACTTGCTGGTTCTTGGGCTGTTTTCAAGACTTTTACCTGCAACTGGCCTGTTGAACACAGGGCTCATGAGTCCAAACTTCCAACACAAAAAACATATAACTGCGATGTGCCATCTTTTAATCTCCTTGGGGAGATTTAAAATAAAGTTCTACATTGAACTAGGAAGAGAACTGGGAATGCATACATTGTTCTCTCTTCTATCTCTCTCTCCCAACTAGACGAAGGTTGGAGGGAAAAGGCATATAAGTGCATGAAGATTGTGAGGTAATGGAAGGTATATTCAAGGTCAAGCCAGCTTAGAGGCTCTACCTCTGTTATTGTGGGTATATACAGAGAGTCTGTGATTCTGACTTGAAGTGGAGATAATTCTGGAAATAGAAGGCCAATTAGTATTTTCCTTTTTTATTTACTATGGTTTGAATGCATGCATCTTTACATATGGCTATTTTTCACCACAATGGATTGGATGTAATAACTCCCTTCAACTTGTGAAGAGTCTTCCTCTGATAGGAGTCTTTGTCTAATGGAGGAAATCCTCATCCTTAAGAGTTTGGCAGAAGAGTTTTTGAATCCCACCCATTACATGTAGAAGTGTGGACCCCATCACTTCTTGCATCTATATTACCGGGGGCGGGGAGGAGCAATCCTTTAAATGTACAGGCACCATTCAGAAATAATGTGCTGTACACATGTATGCTTACTAGGAGTATCTATGCCAGTGATGCACTCACTGCCCAATAGATTGGTTTCTAATATTTAACTGTTCAAAACCATCCAGAAAAGGTCTTGTGTGGAAGCATATTGCTCTCAATGCAGCCAATAAGCCAATGCTACACCTTGATGTGTTCATAAACTTCCGGGCCTAATTATCTTGACTCTTCTGTTCTCAGGTTGCTGTACAATCTATGGTACTTAGGCCAAGTCAATGTAGGAAAGGTAAGGCAACGAGTCTAGAATTTTCTTTATCTTCCCATTGCCATTTATTGGTCATTACATTTTTCTGATTCTGCTTTTAGCATGGAGGCAAAGAAGTGCTAGACCGAGGCATCCAGACGGTTTTAGAAAAACATTTACCACCACAGGTAAGTTTTAGGCGATGACTTCTCAGTGTTTGGGGACTAGAATATGGGTACAGCTAAAGTGATTAGATGTATCCCTGTTTATTTCCACAACTGTAAATGTTTGTTTTAATCTTCATTGGTGGTGGAAAGTGCTGTCAGACCTCAACCAATTTATAGCAACCCTGCAGAGTCTTCAAGGCAAGGGTCTAATGGAGGTGGTTTGCCATTGCCTGTCTCTGTGTAGCGACCTTGGACTTCCTCAGTGGTCTCCCATCCAAACACTATAATCAGGGCTGACCCTGCTTAGCTTCCTTGATTTGAGGAGATCACGTTAGCCTGGGCCATCTGGTCAGGGCTTAATCTTCATTATTGTTTTCCTTCGTTTAAGATGGCAGAGTAGACGTTGACCATTGTTAACCAATTACTTGTTACTAATTGGCAGTGCAGATAGGAATCTGTGTTACAGGCCTGGATGAGATAGGAAACCACCCTGGACATTGGTAATTGATCAGTCTTCCATAGTAAATATATACGTGCCATTAAGTTGAAGCTGGAAGAATATCATGTGAAAGGCACCTTTTCCCTGCTGATCAAGAGCCCTCAGGTCAGTCCTTGTATGAATGCCTGATGGGGCACATATAGAGAAGTCTCTTGGCTTCATCCAGTCAGTAGCACAAAAGGGTAGACTGTTCTCTGTCCACATAGTGAAGAATCTAGTTGGAACTGGAGAGGAAAGGACAAGTATGGTACAGGAAATTGAGTAACTTCTCTTCCTTCTTCTCTGAGGTAACTAATATGTTAGGCGGAGAGAGCAAGACAGGAGGAGCTGGAAGGTGTAGCTTTGGCAAACTGATAATTAAAACAAGTTATGAACCTGAGGAACTAGAAAAGAATGCACCCTGAATGTCTGGGCTGAATTTGTGCAATACAATGGGGAATGTTCTGGTGTTTAAGAGAAAGCACACTCAGAAGGTCTGTAGCTCGGCAGTTCGACACCCTAGTGCCACATGACGGAGTGAGCTCCCATCTCTGGCCCAGCTCCTGCCAACCTAGCAGTTCGAAAGCAAGAAATTGCAAGTAGATAAATAGGTACCGCTTTGGTGGGAAGGCAACAGCATTCCGTGCACCTCAGCATTTAGTCATGCTGGCCACATGACCACGGAAGCATCTTCAGACAGTGCTGGCTCTTCGGCTTGGAAACTGAGATGAGCACTGCCCCCTAGAGTTGGATTTGACTAGCTTTCGAGCAAGGGAAACCTTTACCTTTTCCATAATAGTGTGATTACAAAATAATGATTATTTTTTTTAAAAAAATGGTTCTAACTAAAAAGTGCAAAACTTGCACTTCCTGAGAAAAAGAGCTGACAATTTGCAATTGATTTGTTTGCTATGAGAGAACCAACTGGTTGTAGGAAAGAATAGGAAGGTATCTTCCACACAGGGACAAGCTTGTGCTATTCCCTTGTTGCTGCTGTGGCTGCCAATACAGCACAGCAATGGTGGGGTTTCCACATGGCAGGTTTCCCTGCTACCATGGCTTTTTCATTTCTTTTAATTGGCAATTGATCACTAGATTACTACAACATTAAAACAATCCGCATATCCGGTTCTCTGAATTCTCAGGTTTCCATTTTAAAAAACTAAGAATCTATGTGGATTAGATCTAAATAAAGATCAATGGGAGTCTATTTGTTCTAATTATCTGTTTAAAACTAACGCATTGAACATTAAACTTCAAAATTTTAAAGTTTATTCCCAATGGTATTTAACACCTCAAAAGTTAACTCATTTAATACCTAATGTATCCCCACAATGTTGGAAAGGTTGTGGTGGTATTGGAACATTTAAACATTGTTGGTGGGATTGTCCTGTGATCGCCAAGTTTTGGAGACAAATATTAGGACGTATAGAGAAAATCTTAGATTTTAAGATTTCATTTACTCCTGAATATATACTCTTAAATCATTGGTCAGACAATTAAAAATTAGGAAAAAAAACAGATCTTCTGTTAATCCTTCTTTTATCAGCAAAAACTTTGATAGCTCAAAATTGGAAATCAAAGAAAATTCCGACTGTAAGTCAATGGTATATGAAGGTATGGGACTTGGCGGTCACAGACAAATTGGCTTCCCAGATAGCAGCAAATGACAATATTAAAACATCCACAAACGTTTTGAAAAGATGGTTTCCTTTTTTTGAATTTATTACTAACTCTACGAATAAGATCTGCTTAGTACCTAAGAAATATTTAGACTTCATGTTTTATTGACTGTTCAGTGAGGATTGTACCTAAAGACAGGGGTCATTTCGTAGAAAAAGAGCTAGGGGAACTCATTAGCATAACTCATTAGCATATGCCACACCCTCTGACATCAGGGGCCCGGCGGTGGACCTGCAAGGCCAGCGGGAGTGTGAGGAAGCCCCGCCAAGGCCCTCCCTGGCCCCAGGCAGGCAGAGGCAAGGAGAGGCGGGGAGGAAGCAACTTACCCTCCCTCTTCTCCTGCCTCCTCCTGGCTGAATGAGGGGTGGAAGTGGGGCGGCCGGAAGCAGGGGGCGGGGCTTCGTCATGTGCCCCGCCCCCTGCACCTCACTCGGGGGAACTGCGAAATGACCTCTGCCTAAAGATACGAAATGTAAAGGGTGTTATGTAACAAAAGTTTTGTGTTCTGTTTGTTAGAGGTTAGAAGAGTTGTATTTTTGTAAAATTTGTGGTTTATAAAATAACAAAATAAAAAACTTAAGTTTAAAAACCCCCCTAAGAATCTAGCCCCTTTCATTGCAAAGATATACCTTTCTCTTTATATCTTTGCAATGAAAGGAGCTAGAGACTTTGCTGGGAATTCAGAGTACTTAATACACAGATTGTTGTAATAATATGACAGTGTTCAACTGCTGATTTTAAAAAAGGAGCTCCTCAGTGGAGGGTGGGAATGGCTGTCATGGGGGTAGGAACAGGGGGAAAATGCCCACTGTGTGGGACGGGGAAGCCCAACCTTTCCCACCCACTTGGAAGCCACCCAGGCTTTGCTGTGGTCTTTTCGAATTAAATTAATTGGGGAAACCCCGGGAGGTACATGAATACATCACAATGCTGTGGGGAAGCAGGAAGAACCCCCAGCTCCAACTACATCAAACCCAGGGCGAATAACCTGTGTGGAAACAGCAGAAGGAAGTAAGATGAAACTTTAAAGGGCAAGTGGCCCTAGAAAGTCTCAGTAATGTTTTGATTGTTCACACAAAGCAATCTACTACTAAACATTGTGTTTTAATTTTTCAAAAGTCTAAAAAATCAGGTCTCTAAAAAATGCCAAGGAAAAATACAGAAAATAATGGGATGCTGTTGGTGGACTACTGAATCATCTGAATTGTTCAAAAAAGCTGACTGAACAGGGGTAATTCCAGGCTAAAACCACTAGTATGGAACCAAGAATCTGCCAGAACTTGGTCAGGATGGCATGTACACTGATGAAATGTTACGTTTAAGAGGGAGGGGGAAGTCCTGTTGTTTGTGATCATTAGTTATGAAGTTCTCCCGAGGGGAAGACCCGAGTTTTAATCCACTGCCTAGTAAATGGGTTGGTTTCTGCTTCCTTTACACAATTTTGGTAAGAGTGAGTGGACCCAAACACACACACATAGCCAGCTCTCAGTTATGCTTGCCAAGCCACCAGTCCTTTTGGCTATATGTATTCTCACTCTTAAAGGTGCCGCTGGACTTGTTTCACCTTAAATGTATACCGTCTCTTCAGAAAATCATTACAGCATAAAATGCTTAGTGATGGTTCACAGTTGCTCGTGTTGAGATGCTACAGAAATGCTGAATAAATGAAGACTGAATTCATTAAGCAGACACAGAACAGATGGTTCTGCCCCCCCCCCCCCCCGCAATGCAGGTTGATGAAGCTATCAAAGAGGGTGGGGGGTATTTAGTCAAAGAATCACCCCAGCTGTGTTTACAGTTACTTTAAAACAGCTTGAAACTGATGTTTGCATTGTGTTACTTTAGTGTGTCTTGGCATTTATGTAGGGTCAGTGTGTGGATTTTGACTCTCCTACCACACCAGTGAAAACATACAGTTCTCCAGTCTGTACAGTTTGCTGCTTCTTTCCATTCTGTCTGTCTGGCCAGCAACCCACCAACTGTCAATTTCACAGGCTTTCCTAAATTCCTGTCTGGACCAGAAAATAAGCACCTGAGATGGTTCAGAACTACTATAGTGCTGATACTTTGGCAACATCAGGCTGTGTTCCTAACATACCCAGGATACAGCATTAGTGCAGTGAACTACAGCTTCCTGCCCTTGTATTTGTAAAATCCATTGTCTTCAGAGGTAACAAACTGTTACCAGACACAGAATTGGCTGGGGGCAGCCATATGCATAGCATCCTATAAAGGCTTCTCTGCCACCAGCGGCACAATTCAAAATACCTTATATATCCTGTGATGTGATTATAGCTGACAAGCAGGACAGGCTTGTTTCACTTGCTTAAAATGGTGGTGTTGCTGCGTGTGGAGAAGCCGCTTCCAAATCCTGAAGCTACATGCGGCCGTCAGGGGTACAGCCCTTGTGAAACAGTGGTAGAGGCAGTCACATATCCTTTGCTCACCATCTACCCTCCAAAAAGTATGCTAGATTTCCATTGCAAAATGCTCAGTGTCCCCTTCAGAAGCTCTCACTTCAAGCTGAAAGGCAGACTGGAGGAGCAGCTACAAAGATCATTCCCTTTTGGAAAGAAACGGTGGCCTTCTGTGTTTGTTGCAGTCTAGGTATCTGTTACCCAGATGAGCAGTTAACACAGCACAATGCTCCAGCTCTCAGTTCCTTTTCAGCAATCACTTCGCTCTGGCCTGGCCATCATAGCTGTCTCTCTCCATCCTCATTGTTAGAGAAACACAATGGCTAGGGACATTACTTTAGCTGGGAACTATCAAAACTCACACCCTATTCTTTAACATGGTTATTACAACTCATCTGGTGGGGGAAATTAACATTTGGTAATCAACTGTGGTATCCTTGGGCGGATTAGAGCAGCTCACTGCCAGGGTTCACATAACGCCGTGGTGAGTCCCAGCCTCATTTCCCGGAGGCCTATTTTTACTTATTCCAGGCGAGTGCTGAATTGCAATGCTGCAGTAATATACCAAATGGGGACTCGGTTTAAATGCAACTGGCAGGAGTAAGCATAAGATCATGAATCACTTTCTGGAGCTAAACCTGCACCATTTGAATACATAGCATCGTTTGATTTTGAGAAGATTCATGCCATTAAAAACCGTGTACATCAGCATGAACATTAGTGAAAATATGTCAATTTACACAATTTCTAAGGTGCAGCAACTGTCAAAATAATGTAGTTTATAAGCTTGAGTCTCTGACTGGATCACTGTGATTTCTATCCTTAGTCCTATCAAGTCTGAAGAAGGCAAAATTAGTTAATCAACTAATGCTGCTGACGCGGAGTAATTTTAATGTTATTCTTCCAGGAGATTTTATTTGATGTAAAAGAAACCGAAGTCCTTGTGCTACAGAAAATTTCTTCAAAGGTGAGAATGTATTTTGGCTTGGATCCAGACAAAGTTTACATTCACAACAACCCTGTGTAGTAGGTTAGGAGGAGTGTGTGCAACTAACCGAAGGTTGCTCAGCAAGCTTCCATGTCAGAGTGGGGATTCATATCTGTGTCTCCCATATCTGTGTCTAATCACTACACCCCTCTGGCTCTCAATACATACACCACCTATGAGGAAACACCAGTTTTTGTATGGCAGGGGTCATACTGTATTGTAGAGCTAAACTCCTTCAGTAACGGTATTCTAGTACACAAATGCGTATGTTTAGCAATAGCTTATTAAATCATTTTATTATCAGCAGGTTCTGTTCCATTACCCTTATACAGACATCTCCTGTGTGGGACGGCGTCTGGACAACAAGTGTCTCTTTGCCTTCTGTATTGTGTAAGTTCAAAAGATGCAGACATTACAACAGGCTCTTATTATGCATTCACCCACTTTCCAGTACAGTGGTAATTCACTAAAGATGCATAAAAGCAGGGTGTAGGAGGGACCTGATTTCTGAGGTTAGGCATTTTAACAGAATTTAGTTGTTCTCCCAACAGACTACAAACCTGTTGCTTCTATCCCTGAAGTTCCTGGTAATAAATTTCTGTGAGATAACTCAAGGTCAGAAGCTATATATTTGCACAATTCATACTGGTTAAACTAGAAGAGGAGATTGGATTTATACCCCGCCCTTCACTAGGAAAAAAAGATGTATAGTTCCAGTGATACCTTGATTCCCAGGTGACTTTGATTATGTAAAACAGCCAGTTACCACATATTCTCCCTTTGACGTCCAATAAAACCCTTATTGCTTGGCAGAGTAACTGACATGCAATCTATCATGGATGACACTACTCAGTGGTGTTAATCAGTTAACATTCCTTTTCAGCGGGCTAAGATTTAACCTTGCTCAGATAGAGACTAAGGACAGGACACAAGACACCAAGAACTACAGCTCAGCAGCCACATAAGTGTTGGCTATGAAAGGGTCTCATCTGTATTTCATTTTACAGAATTTCACCAGAGTCTCCAGATCACAGTAGCTTTGGCTGTCTTGTGTTTCAATCAAATTCTGGGGAAGAAAGTGAGGAAATTGTTAGAAGAATTGGTAAGGATACTTGTACTTTTGGCATTTTGTGGTCAAATAAGTCCTATATAACTTATTAGCTGGGTAAAAGCTCAGTTATAATGACTTCTCAGGTGAACACACTCACCTTGTGTTCAAGATTTGAAAGCAGGGGTGGGATAAAAAAGGAACAGGAAACTTAAGCAAGGAAACAGTATTAAAGCAGTGTAACATCCTAATGTAATCTTGCTGTACTGGTTACACTTGAAAGGTTTCCAAAACCAGGTTTATAGCACTTAAGGAGTGGAAGGGTTGATGTCAATGAACAAACATTCCCCATGCATGTCTCACAGAACTCTGACACTACCATTCTTTAAGCATATTCCCTATGTAGCCAGCATGTAACTGCTCCAAGGGTACAGTAATCAGGACTGCCAAGTTAAAATGTTAGCAGAAATCATACTAATGAGCTTTTGTTTCTTTAGCTGTTGGATTTAAACACACTGAATGGTTTGTTTGATGGCGATGCAATGGCTTTGCTTCTGGCAGTGACCTACTTTTTGGAACCTCACTAGTTTGAATCAACTGTTTCAGTCCGTGAAACCCTGCAAACATGCTCTTGGGATCCAGACACTACTTGATGATGATGAGAACTTTGCACTGAAAGTATAACTTTGAATATATCCTTTTATTGAATTGTTTAGTTTTTTACTGTTTTTTCACATCTACACTTTTCAGAATTTAGAATAAATTAAGATGAACCCATCTAGGTGCGTACTATTTCTAACTGTGTACAAATTTTCTGAAAATACGAGCTCAATATATAATACATCTCTGAAGCAATAAAAACACATTGAAACACATTTGGGATTTGAAGTCATGTCTCATAAAAGGAAGAGGGGAAGTGTTTAAGTAAGCTACCTCTTGGCCTTTCGTTTGCCATTTAAAACTGTTGTGATCCACTTAGATTAGGTTTAGAACAGGTTTAACAATAACATCTATCCAGTGTAAACCAGAGTGAGTGGAAGTTAATACTCTATGGTTAAGTTACACACCAAGTAAGGGGACAGGACTAACCTGGTTTGATTAGAGATAAAAAGCCAAGAACATAACAAGGCTGTTTTCCCCACATCAATGACAAGACTCCTTGAGTGAATGTAAAACATTTAATTTAAAAATGTTGACACTACAATATATAAAATAGCTATTATAAATGCACATAGTGTATTCTATAGCTGCCAGGTTCATGTTTTTAGGAAACTGTAAGTTACACTGTGGTTAAGACTTGTAGTTTCACCCTCCTCAAAGCCCACACACTATCACAGTGATGTATGGTCAGACTTAACAGCCCCAATTGTTAAACACTTGGATCAAGTTATAACCAGTTTTATTGCAAAAAGAACCCTGTACACATTTATATCAATTCTAGTACCTTACAATTTTAGCTACCCAACAAGTCATTAACATACAGAAACATGCATGAAAAGCAAGAAAGATCACCCATCCCTTCTGCATATTAGCAACTTGTCACTACTGAGCAACAAGGCTCACATCACTGAGTTTTAGGTGAACAGTCACTTTTAGCATTCATCCTGAGTGAAAGATGGAATGACTTAAGTACAAATGTAACATATTATAAACAATTTCATACAAAAAAAAATCACAAATCAAAACCAAAGTATTTTACAGAATTTACTACAAAACACCATAAAAACTGCCTCCTCTTAAGCTCTCTCCCCCCGTATCCTACGAGCCAACTGGATGTCTTTGGGCATGATGGTAACTCTCTTGGCATGGATGGCACACAGATTTGTATCTTCAAAGAGACCCACCAGGTATGCTTCACTAGCCTCCTATTTCAAGACAAAACAGACATTGTTAAAAGCCATGAACCAAATCCCCTCCAGGATTCAGTGTACACAACAGGAGCTGTTGATGATCACAACTATACCTGCAGCGCACCAATAGCTGCACTCTGGAACCTCAAGTCTGTCTTGAAGTCTTGTGCAATCTCCCTTACAAGCCTCTGGAATGGGAGCTTGCGGATCAGAAGTTCTGTGGATTTTTGGTAACGACGAATCTCACGCAGTGCCACAGTACCAGGCCTAGAGAAATATTAAACAGTAGTAAGTCATACAAATCTACAGCACAATTCCTGTCAATCTTTATCTTTTTTACTGCAACAACCTCTAGAAGGCAGCCATTTTAATGAGCTGCTGTTAAATGACTGCCACATCTTCCACCTATTATTTTACCTGTAGCGATGAGGTTTCTTGACGCCACCAGTAGAGGGAGCACTTTTCCTTGCTGCTTTGGTAGCCAGCTGTTTACGTGGAGCTTTGCCACCAGTGGATTTACGGGCAGTCTGCTTAGTACGGGCCATTTCCCCTTACTTTTCTAGAACCGAAAAAAAATGCAACGTGTCAATACAACCGCCATCTTGTCTCCTCTAACACACTCAAACATGCTCTGAAAGAAGCATTTGAGTCACAACCTCCAAGCCACACCCGCTCCTAATAGCTCCCCCTTCTCGGGGGAAAGCGCGGAGAGACAGCAGATGTCACCGGACAGCCCCCCCCCCCGGTCGGGCAAGCAGCCAATCGATGACATCCCAGCAGCAGCAGCCCCTGAACGAGTGACGCCGACTCCCGCCCACGCGCAATAGTAAATACGAAGCCAGATCTCTCCCCCCACTCCCTTGTTCTTAGCTCTCCGTGACAATTACACTACAACACACAATCATCAGGTTCTCTTTCCCCGCACTGCTCGAGCAACCGTGAAACTGGTCTTTACTCACAAGACGCCCCCCGAAGACTAGAGAAAATGTTCCCATACGGTTTCTCCTCCAATTTAGACTCACCGCTGTCACGAATAAAAATCCCTCAATACACTTCCGCTTCGATGAGCCAGACGGCGCAGACCACAGCCTACTCCCCAACCAACGAACCTGTAACTGTTCCCTCCCGATCGCGGGGGACACGGCTTTTATAAAGGGAGGAGGCCCATGACGTCATGACCTCACAGCACAGAGACACCGCGTGCGAGTCTATTGGCGTCTACCTCCGCCGACGTCGTGACGCTAATTTACACAAAGGCCGTTTTTCTGGATCGCAAACATGATTGGCTGGACCTCGACACCCTATTGGTTGTTAAAGTAACACGCTGATTGGCTACCATGAACCACAGCAAACCAATTAGAATTGTAGCCGAGACTGAGGCTCTGATTGGATGGCAGAAAACATAGTTTGGATCCTACTTTTTGTCGCAAAGCTCCACAATGGAAAGTCAATGGGAGAGAAAAGCAGTCCGTTTTGAGAGTCCCAGGCTCAATGGGGAGAGCAACTGGGGGGGGAATAGAGCTGAACAAGATGCTTCCACGAGGAACGCAACATGGGTAGTAAGATTAGTCGTACCTCATTTTCATCTACTTTTACCGCTATACACCAAATGTTATAGTCACACATTTGGTTCTCCTTAATGATGTCTAAACAGTGCTGCATCACTATGTCACTTTTAGATATTTAATAGCACCCACTATAGAGATATACTAAGATAACTAAACTGATTTTTATGTATCAAAAATGTGGAAAGCATTTCTGCTGAAATAAAATGGATATAAAATTATTTTACGAGAACCACTAGGAATCCATTCTATGTACTAGGCTGCTTGAGTAGGGTTGCCAGCCTCCAGGTGGTGCCTGGGGATCTCCAGCTTTTACAACTGCTCTCCAGCTGATCTCCCCTGGAGAAAACAGCTGCTTTGAAGGGCATTGTACCATGCCGAGGCCTCTCCCCTCCCCAAACCCCGCCCTTTCCTGACTCCACCCCCATAGTCTCCAGGTATTTTCCAACCCAGACCTGGCAACCCCCTATGCTTGAGTCATGTATAATTTTTTTTAACTGAAGTGTCATATTTGTAATTTACAAATCTCTGTTATATAAATATATATTTTACGTAATCGCAACTTGACAATACAGGCTCAGGTTTTGGACAGGGGGTCTTGTTCTGCAGTATCAAAACTACCACAGAGAGAGAGAGAAGTATAGCCTGATGCTTACGCAATTGCTGGAAGATTCAGGTGGGCAGCTGTGTTTTTCTGAAGCAGCAGAACAAAGTTTGAGTCCAGTGACACCTTTAAAACGAACAAAGTTTTATTCAAGGTATGAGCTTTTGTGTGCATGCGCACTTCCTCAGATACAGTGAAATGGAACGTATCAGATAAATATCTTCATTATGTTGTATGCTAATTTACTGGTCAACCTCTGCCTATATGTATGGACTGGTAAGTTCCATTTCAACTATCTGAGGAAGTATGCATGCACAAGAAAGCTCATACCTTGAATAAAACTTTATTGGTCTTAAAGGTGCCACTGGACTCATACAATTGTTTTCATATACATCCTTCATCCATTAAATGTACTCCAAATTATTTATTTATTTATTATTTATTAAGATTTATACCCCGCCCTCCCCACAGAGCGGGCTCAGGGCGGCTTACAAGGGGCAAAGCCCATATAAAACAGATAAAAGCAATAAAACATTCATGACAGTTAATAAAATTAAAGTAACACAGTGCAATCCTAAACAGGTCTACTCAGAATCCTGTTGAAGTCTACTCCCAGAAAAGTGTTCTCAAGTTCCACTGAAAGATACTTAGTTTCCTACAACAGTTACTTCATAAAAATTAGTAAATTGATGACAGAGTTGGTCTACCTTCAATAAAATGGCTATGTTTAAGAAGTTTATTCTTATTGTTTATTTCTAATATTAATGGCACTTCACAGAGTAACATCAATAAAACAGAAAGGGTTTGTTGGCAAGCGTGAGTCTGGATATGTATTTACTGGCTTGGGCATTTATCTTGAACTGTGGAAACATGTTAAAGTATCAGTGTTTTCCACACAGTCTCATCCTGTGTTTTTAATTACATCCTGTGCACAATCAAATTAAAATTAAGGCTGCCATCAATGGGACATACTGTACTGGGCAGTAAAGTAATGTCATCCCCCTTGTCTGTTTGCCTGGTTCAGGGGGGAGAAACTCTAAGGCCAGTTAGATGGCAAGAGGGTTCAACTACTGAAGGATATACTGTATACTTTACTGAGTCCTGTTTCCAGTAGACTATGGAGTATTGTGTTGAAAAGGTAACTAATGTACTACATGTGGTATGAAGTAATATCAGATGGATCTCTTTATACTTCTATAGAAATGTAACAAAGCACTCCTAATTTTAAACCATACACATTATTCTCAGAGCCAGTTTAGTATAGTGGTTAAAGAGTTTAGGATCTGTGAGACCCAAGTTTAAATCCCCATTCTGCCATGAAACTTGCTAAGTTACGTTGGGCCAGTCACACTCTCAGACTAACGTACCCCCACAGGCTTGCTGTGAGGGTTAAAAACAGGACGAGATAAATGTACACTGCCCTTGGAGCAAGGGTGGGTTAAAATGTGGTAAATAAAATAAATTCTAGAGCACCATAATGGAATCTCTTAAGGACAATGAAGTATCTCAGGATGTAGCACTGCAATTTTCTTTTGAAATAATGGTTTAGCAACCTTAATAACACTTCACAAATTACTTTTTTACAAGACACATTTTAACATTCCCTTCTTCCTTTGTATATTTATTAGGCCACTTAGTCTACAATTCACTCATATGCCCAACCTACTTAACAGGGTTGTTGTGACAATAAAAATGGAAACGGGGACTGTGACGGTACCTCTCCTTTATTCTGTGTGGTTGTGATGTAGTTTTAAATTTCTTGTTGTTTCTTTCACTCAAAGTATGTATTGCTGCCACCAGGAATTTAATCCCAGTCTTTAATTAACCTTTCCCACAGTATTGTGCCCAAGCTCTAAGGCACCTTCACTGGACTATGCAGTTCTGAGGATAAGACACTGGGTTAACAATAAACAAGATAAAACTTTATTGGTGAAAGAAGCGTATTGGTTACAAGTTGTTTTGTTAAGTTGCTCAGTAAAATCTTTCCCTTTTTACTCAGCCTTTTCCCTCACACTCTTAAAATACTCTGACTATATTAGATTTTGCCTAATATGCCCCCTTAAGTATACCTTTATAATCTTAATGCCTTTCACAGCACTTCTATATGATTCTAGTTAGAAGACTACTTCTCAGACTCTGTGTAGATTAACCCCAACTGACAGCTGCTGACTTCTGACTACACTCTTCTGACTTCAAACTGAACACTCTGCCTTCTCTCTTTACACCCCCCCAGCTCCACCCATACACTCTCAGTCACCAACCAATCACCTCACTCATCTCCCTCTTTCACCACTCTTGTTCTACTGACACTTACCAACCATTTAAAGAAACACACATATATAACTTGAAACCATTACAGGGACATAGTAAGCCACTTTGGGTATCCAAGAGAGAGAAAAGTGGGATAAAAATGAAGTGAATAATACAATTAGAGTAAAACAAACTGAAGAACAGTTGTTTAGAACATTTGTAAACTGCTTCTCCACCAAGCATTCTTGAAGCTACTTACAACAATTAAAACAAATGATCACAAAAATCTAATACAACAAAATAAAATAAAAACACAAATAGGTACAGTAAACATGAGATGTTTTTGTCATGGGAATTGTAATGTAAATCAATTTCCTCATAGCAGTTGTCCACTGAATTACATCTAAACATTCAGGAAAACAATAGGTTGAGGACTACACCGTTTTTATATACATAAATAAGGGTTTAAATGGCAGAGAAATGGAGACTTCCAGTCTTCAAGAGTTATGCTGGTAGGTGACTTTAAGAAAATTGTTATTGTACTAAAACAGTATTTCATCACTCCTTCTCCCCAAAACATGATCCTATATCCTGATGCAGGATTGTGATCAAATCTCCCAGTACTAATACAAGGGGATCTCAGTTGCTGCTTCAGTAATGCAACAAAAGTACAGCATTTAGCTCTTACAGAGAACATGTCTGTCATGGCTGAGGCAGAGCAAGTCTGTTCACTGTGTCCTAGCATCCCTGTCAAGTTGTTTTTTAGCTCCAAACCCACAAGCACTGCCTCATGCTGATTAGGAGGTACAAAGCAAAATTTTCTCCATGTTTAAAGACAAACAATTCTGTTTAAAGGCCTTAAAGGGATGTTATTTAGCACCATGCCATGAAAGGCTTCAGTTGGCCATTTCAAAACTTTAAACTTCTACTAAAGGGGCAGGACATTTTTCTCCAGGTCTGTTAGCAACCCTAGTCTGGGTTGTTTCACACAATGTCACGGTGTAGTTGTGGCACCTCTGCTTGCAAAAGTACAGGAGATGGATAGGGCTAGTCTGTACCTCTGCTAGTACCTATTTCCAAAAATAGCAAGAACAGAATATTCTATTCCCTCTGTAAACTCCATTACCCTAACATATGTAACAACCTATTAGTAAACACATTGTATCTAAAACCTGACCATACATTTATTTACATTGTTTATAGTCCACCTTTCTCATTGGTACTCCAAGATACTAAAATGAAGAAGGAAAGCCCTGGAAGGTTAGTAACAATAACAGCCCAATCCTACATGTGTTTACTTAAAAGTAAATTTCACAAAGTTGAATGGGGTTTATTCCTGGGTAAATATGTTTAGGATCACCGCAGTAAAGAAAATAATTTCCAGTATATAAGTCAGGAGCACTCTGTTAATTTTAAGTAACATTGGTACTTCATACTTCTGAAGCCATATGTATACACAGAGATAAATACAAGCATGGCATGAACACACACAGACTGCAATCCTATGGACACTTTCCAGAGACTAAGCATGACTGAATAAATGGGACTTGCTTCCAAGTAGATCTGCTTAGGAGTACTCCCATACACACTCTTGCTTTACAGGTAACACAATACAAACCAAGAGAGAAATGCACATTCTCATCTTGTTACATCAGTAACTATGTAAGGAAAATCCATTCAGGAAGTTGCTAATGAGAATAAAAGAGAGACGGTGGAATGCCTTGTTCTACTGAGGGAAATGGAACTAAACTTGTTTAACTGATTTGTGGATTACAGTTTTACATCTGATTTTGATTACTAGGCCATGTTTAACATTAGGCTATTATGCCGCAATATATAAATTTATTCCCAACCAATTTTGTTGGTAATTTCTACTTTACTTTAAGTAAAAGTAGACTGGAGTGTGAGGGTTGTGCAATACATACTTAAGAGAGCAATCCTAAACATGTCTACTCAGGTCTGTTTAGTGGAACTCCAAGGAAAGTGTTTTTAGGATTCAACTGTAATTATGCTAAAACATACTGGCTAAGGAAGGCATTTAGCTGTGGATCTTTCAAAGCTAATCAGGGCCCCCTGGTCACACGGGCCGGATATGGCAGGGGGGGAGGCGCGGCTAATTGCCCCGGCGCAGTTTGATCCGCGATTACGTGATCAGATGCGCCGGCAGCACACCTTCCCTCTGCGTCGGCAGGTAAACTAGGGACCAGAGGGGAATGCCGTGTGCCGGCGCGATCACACCACGGCACACGGGAGTCTGGAGGCAGCCCGTGGCAAACGTTTACTAGTACCTTGGAGGTACTAGTTTTTTAACTCGCATTGTTGGCGGTAAGCCACGGGTGCGCTCCACTTCCCAGATGTTGGGGTGTGATCGCGCCCGGATAATCCGCCCACCATCTGTGCCTCTCCCGCGGCAACTTTGCCGTGTGACCAGGGCCAATAAACTGTATTTGCATTCCAGATAGAGCCCTTTATTTTCAATAGTAATCCGTTTAAAAAGAAAAATACACTTCACTAACCACATTGTTACATGAAATTAATCCTATAAACACTTACCTGTAAACCCTGTTGAACAATGTGAGATTTAAATAAAAATGCACAGGAATGACTTCAATAGCTTTAGAAGGGTGTGTAATCCTGTTTAGGATTGGATTGTGGTGATTTACGGGTTTCGGATATTGCATTCATGTAACATGCCTAGTTACCATTGCAAAGATGTAACTATTTTGTTGATGTAACATACTTTATGGGAAGCTACTCGTAATTGCAGACTGGTATCACTCAATTAAAAAAAGCTATCATGCTGTAAATAAAAAACAGAAATTATATTAATAGGATTTCATCTAATCGACGATCCCTAGTCCTCTAACTACCCCCTTTTGAAATAAAGAAACTGGAGCCGTCAGCAAGAATAACATATACATTAACCATTTCTTGCTATATACAGATCTCATTTAGCCTTTTAAAAAAACACAAACTACTAAAGCTACAAATCTACGAGTGTTCATTAGGAAGTAAACCTTGCTGAATTTAGTGGCATTTCCGAATAAATATCATTAGGGTCGGGCTATGACAGTTTACGTAAAAAACAACGTTGGTTTAAACGGTTGGTGGCTTCCATAGCAGTGCTCCTCCTGGAACCGCTCGATCTTAATCCACAAATGAGCTGCTCGAAACTACAATTCCTAGTAACCCCAGACAACGTCGCATAATCCGGGACAGCGAGCGCAGAGTATCGCTGGAAATTGTAGTTTACGGAGCCGGAAACCCAATAGAAGAAAATAGGGACTTTCCGCCATCACCGGGACTACAAGCCCCAGCATGCTTTGGGTGACCCGGGGCGGCAATGGCGGCGGCAGCGCCTGCGCATTGCGGTCTCCGTGCGGACCGCGCAGAGTGAATAATAAAGCTCTCCTCGGTGGTAGCGGGCGGTGGCGGAGGGAGCGGAAGGCAAGAGCATGTCGAAGGGCCCGGCAGCGACCGGGCCTTCCGTGACCGGGCCGGTGGCGCCCGCCAGCGCGCTCCAGGCGCAGCCCGAGAAGCCGCAGCACTACACGTACGTAGCGAGAACACCCGCAGCCGCCACTTACTGCTGCCGCTCCTGCTGCCGCCGCACCCCTCCGCCCGGCGCCCGCCCGCGCGCCACACACGCCTGACGTCAGCGGGCAGCGTGCGGCACGCGCACACGGAGTCCAACCGCCCGCCCGGAACCGGCTCGAACCGGTCGTGGCCGGCCTGGGCCCGTAGAATCCCGCTTGAGTGGGAGGGGGCGGGGCAGGAGTTGACACCCCCTCGCGGTTTTTCGCTCCCGCGCTCGAGAATGTGCGCAGACCAACCCCATATTTTACACCCCCCACAGATAGGCTGAGGCGCGCAGTGAGCACGGTACGCTGCAGTTCGCGTGCGCCCCCCCCCCTCCCCGGCGTGCTGCCGCTTGTGGCTCTGCTCTGGCCTTGGTGTGTAGGGGAGAGTGCGCCGTCCATCCATTCCCCCCATCGTCTCCCGTTGTACTGCCAGTCTCTTGCCATCATCACCTCCCCTCCCCCCCCCCACTAGGGTACCACGCTACCTCATGTCACACAAAGTAAGGTGGCTTTATAATCAGTTGTTCAAAAACAAGGTGGGGTGTTGTTGTTATACTTTTCCGGTGTGTCTTATAAAGAGCGTGTGGCCCTGGGCTTGTGCTGAAAACGAGAAGGGCATCTGTTGGTTCCCTTATCCCAGACAGGACAGTTACAGAGAACGGTTTCAAAATAAAGAGCATCTAAACAATCGTGCTAAAGCCACGTTGACTTTCCTTGTGTTTGCAGATGGCTGTGACTAGGTCTAGTTTGTTTCTCTCTAGCTATGCCCAATTAAAATTTAAAAAATAAGGGGAGTTGTGAGGGTTTTTTTCTGTTGAAACTAGTATTGGGAAATAAAGGATATCAAGTTTCACGGAAATGGCATGTGGAGTAGTGGGATGTTAAGAAAATTGATGTATTGACAGTTGGTCTAATACAAAAATACTTATTTAGGTAAGAAGTAGTGAAAATTAAGGGTCATTTTGGAACCATGGAGTACTGATGAAAGTCTGTTATGTTTATTGCAGGTTGCATGAGGAAACTGTTGATTCAGCTCTGTTCACAAATCCTAGAATCAGGTCTTATGACCTAATTCTATCAGCAGCTGGCTCACCAAGTACATATTGGAGATAACAAGGAGATTTGTGGTACCTTAAATATGAATAGATTTATGACATAAAGTTTGGTGAGCTAGAGGCTGTCAGATACATGAAATTGTCATTTGGGATGTGTCAGTGAGTGTTGTGCAGCTTTAATCATTGCAACCTTAGCTTGCTGGTTCAAGTTCATGTGAGATCTAATTTGGCACAATAGCATCTATCTGTGGTGTTATGCTAGCAACAGCCACAATTTCCATATATGCTTACAAAACTTGGATGGTAGAGCATGGACCAGAGGACAAGAATGGTTGGGGAATGAATTGCCATCAGGCATCTTAAAGGCATATTGGTGTGTTGTGTACTTGCTTAAATACAAGGAATAGCAGAATGCAAAATATTTTGGATATATAAAGTATGATAGAGGCAGCAACATCACTATGGTACAGCTTAATTATTAGTTGGATGTAACATTTTTGTTACAGCATTCCAAATGGAAAAGTAGGCATGCTTCAGTTGCAAGGCAGAAGATGCGACTACTGTTATAACTGCCAGTATATCAGCTATATGCCCCTGTTTGTATGTCCGTTGGGGTATTTGTCCTCTACTGAAAATTGTGTGATTTAAGCTTGAATGTATGTTACTACATCAGTAGAAATGGAAATAGTGAATTAAATTATACCAAGCATTCCTCAAAAAGTGTGTGTGGGGAAATAACCCTGTATGGTCCAATATCACTTTAATTTATATTGTTTTTAATACGTGTCTTGAGGGTGCCATGTTATTGCAAGTTATTGGTATCTGATGAAGGGAGCTCTGATTCTCGAAAGCTTATGCCCCCCCAAATCTTGTTGGTCTCTAAGATGCTATTGGACTTGATGTTATTGCAATTTACTGTTCTCGGTGCAAGAAAGTAACTCAGAATCTTGCAGCAGAATTTTCAAACTTACATTTTAAGAAAGTCAGTTCATAGTATTGTATGGGTGTGCACTTCTGTGCTCATGTTTGTTTGTTTTTGTAAGGAGAGAGCATCAGACCCCTGATTCCCCCAATTTCAGGCAAGGCAGTGCTACTGGAGCCTCATCTTAATATTGCTGAGATATGATGTATATATAATAGGGTTGCCAGCTCTGGGTTGGGAAATACCTGGAGATTTTGAGGGGAGGTTTGGGAAGGGGAGGGACTTCAATGGGGGATAATGCCTTAGAGTTCTTTTTCCAAAGTGGCCATTTTCTCCATGTGAAATGATCTTCATTTCCTGAAGATCAATTATAATAGTAGGAGATCTCCAGCCACCACCTGGACGTTCAATACAATAGTGAAACGCACAGTATATATGTGAACAGAAAGAAATTAACTGTATGTGGCATCAATACCAATTTCAAAAATCAATAAATAATAATAATACATAATTCATTTATAGACAAATAAACCATTTATACAATTTCCAAATCCTAAGCAAAATTATTAATACAATACACAATTAATAATCAGGGCATAAATGATTTAACGTAAGTCCTGTATATGGCTCACAAAGTCCAAAACACAACAAAGTGCTCAGTCCCTCTTAATGAGCAGTATGCTTCACAGTGTAAAGGGGGAAAACAAGCTTCCAGAAGGTATCTACTCCAACAGTTCCAAAAGAGGAACACTTGAACGGTTCCAAAAGAAGAACTACGGGATTGCCAGCTTCCTCAATATGCTCCACGTTTCACCAATATGGCTTTATCAAGTTGGAACCAGTAACTTGAAGAATATTACTGAAAAACTGTCTCAGTGTATTCAGTTCACAAAATCACTTTCAAAGTGGGCTATGCCTTCACAACACTCAGTATTCTCACAGACAATAGTGACAATAATACTGTTCATTAGGAGGGACTGAGCACTTTGGAGTGTTTTGGACTTAAGTGAGGATGTTGCTGGCATATGGAGTGCAGCACTTTAACAGCATCATCCTTTAGGACTTTGAATAGCTCAGATGGATTACCATCATCTCTGTTAGCTTTGTAGTTAGTAAAGCTTATTTATTTATTCATTCATTCAACTTTTATGCCGCCCTTCTGCTGAAGCGGCTCACAGCATAATAAAACCAACATAGATAAAACAATCAATCCATAAAACAACTTTACATAAATACAATAAATATAAGTAAAAGCGGCTCGGTATATCATTGCAACTAGACATCAACCACATTGTTATCTACCTATACAGAATACATGCCTTGGCAGGTTGGCAAGGCTTGGCTGGCATACCGTCGCTCTCCCTGATATGCCTGGCAGAAAAGCTCAGTCTTCATGGCCCTGCGAAATTGCTGGAGATCTCGCAGGGCCTGGATCTCACTAGGGAGCTCATTCCAATATGCTGGTGCAGCTAGCGAAAATGCTCTAGACCTAGTTGTTGTCAGCTTGGCCTCTTTAGGGCCAGGAAGGGTCAGGCCATGTTGCCTATTTGACTTCATGCTTCAGGATGTCTGGCTTGAGGTCAGCGATCACACCATCATGGCTGTCAAGGACACTGAGATCTTTCTTGTATAGTTCTTCTGTGTATTCTTGCCATCTCTTCCTAATCTCTTTTGCTTCTATTAGGTCCCTACTGTTTTTGTTCTTTATCATGGCCAGCTTTACACAAAACGTTTCCTTGATTTCTCCAATTTTCTTGAAGAGATCTCTAGTCCTTCCCATTCTGTTGTTTTCCTCTATTACTTTGCATTGTTCATTTAGGAAGGCCTCCTTATCTCTCCTTGCTGTTCTCTGGAAATCAGTTGGGTATTCAGTTAGGTAAATCTTTTCTTTTCACCTTTGCCTTTCACTTTCCTTCTTTCCTCAGCTATTTGTAAAGCCTCATCAGACAGCCACTTCACTTTCTTGCATTTCTTTTTCTTTGGGATGGTGTTGATTGCTGCCTCCTGTACAATGTCACGAACCTCCATCCATAGTTCTCCAGGCATTCTGTCTATCAAATCTAGTCCCTTGAACCTATTCTTCACCTCCACTGTATATTCATAAGGGATGTAATCTAGGTCAAACCTGAATGGCCTAGTGGTTTTCCCAACTTTCTTCAGTTTAAGCCTGAATTTTGCAATAAGTAGCTCATGATCTGAGCCACAGTCAGCTCCAGGTCTTGTTTTTACTGACTGTATGGAGCTTCTCCATCTTTGACTGCAAATGATATAATCAATCTGATTTCAGTGTTGCTCATCTGGTGATGTCCATGTGTAGCATCGCTTCTTAGGTTGTTGGAAGAGGGTGTTTGCTATGACCAGTGTGTTCTCTTGACAAAACTCTGTTAGCCTTTGCCCTGCTTCATTTTGCTTTCCAAGGCCAAACTAGTCTGTTGTTCTGGTTACCTTTTGATTTCCTACTTTTGCATTCTAGTCCCCTATGATGATAAGGACATCTTTTTTGGTGTTCGTTCTAGGAGGTGTTGTAGGTCTTCATAGAACCAGTCCACTTCAGCCTCTTCTGCATAGACTTGAATTACCGTGATGTTAAGTGGTTTGCCTTGTATTCGGAGATCATTCTGTCATTTTTGAGACTGTATCCCATTACTGCCTTTCTTGCTCTCTTGTTGACTATAAAGGCCACGCCATTTTTTCTACAGGATTCTTGGCCACAGTAGTAGATGTAATGGTCCTCTGAGTTAAATTCTCCCATTCCGGTACACTTTAGTTCACTGATTCCCAAGATGTCAATGTTCAGTCTTGCTACCTCATTGATTCATAGATCTTACATTCCAGGTGCCTATGGAGTATTGTTCTTTGCAGCATTGGACTTTCCTTTCACCATCAGACACATCCTTTCAGCTTTGCCCCAGGTGCTTCATTTTTTCTGGGGTTATTTGTACTTGCTCTTCCCAGGTCTATTGGACACCTTCTGACCTGAGGGGCTCATCTTCTG